TCTGCTATGCTAAGCTGCGCTATGCTATGCTATGCTATGCTGTGATATGCTGCGCTATGATATGCTATGCTATTATTGGCCATGCTCTGCTATGCTATGCTGTACTGTGCTATGCTAAAGCTCGGCAAAACTAAGATGAAGATAAGCTCAGCTAAGATACACTTGAGCTAAGATGAAACTAAGCTAAGCTATGATGAAATAAGCTAAGTTAAGATGGGATGAGCAACGTTAAGCTAAGGGGACGTCACCGGGGGAACCACGGGGCGGATGCCGGGGAAACCGCCCGGGGCGATTTACACTGCCCGGCCCCTTAAGCTTACACGGTGAGAACCCTTTTAGGCAGAGCTTAGGTAGGGAACTTACAGGAGCTTCGACTCTGGTAGTTTTGCAGGAGTTGTCGCGGCATCGGGTCCAGGGGCGCGGCTACCACGGTTTTGTCGCATTTGCATGGGGGCATTCAGATGTAGCTTTCCTAATCCCTAGGCTTTCGGTGCAAGGCGTGGTCACTGATGGGGCAGGTCCCTTTTGGGCCAGTGTGGTTCCGCACGATGCTGTTTTCATCGGGGTGCATCTTCGCGACCGCTGCCTGGGCGACGGCCGAGGCGTACGCGCTAGATCGGAGATCCTTCAATTCGCGCGCGCTGTTAGGCAGCAGCATATGGGCAAAGCGTTCATGGTTGTCATGGGCGTTGGCGCGATTTGCTCTTTCGGCAGCTATCGATGGCTACGCCGGCAACGTGGTGGGCGTCGCGATTCCTGGCCGCGCCCCGATCATGAAGAACGCTATGTTCTCTCATGGAGGCATTGGGGGCCAGGGCGCTCAACGCGTGTCATTCTACATATTCGGATCCATTTATGAATCCATGGACTCGCGGAGTCAAACGGAGTGAGCACCGTCGAACTCATTGATTACGTTTGCTTTTCTGCTTTGGTGGAGGGCGAAACAGCTTCAGTCTCCTTATCCAGCCGATGCTTTGCGAGATCAGACCACAGAATCGTGTCAGGTCAACTCCGCTTTCTTCAGCCTGACCACATGGGTACCTTCGGAAGCCCATCCTCCGGGGGGATGTCATGCCAGGAGCTGGAGACTTGCCACACGTATCAAGATCTATGCGTCATGTCTGGCTTCAAGCATCAATTTGGTAGCGTCCAAAACCCGGAGAGCGAAGAGACCCTCGGGGACGGGAAAAATAGCGTCCAAAACCCGGAGAGCGAAGAGACCCGCGGGGACAGGAAATCTTTCCTGGAGAGCTCTCGGGGGCCCCTGAAGCGCTTCGAAAGCGCTGCCAGGCACGCCTCCATGCGTGCCTGCTCGCGTGCAGGCACGCGTGGACGCGTGCCGGAAGCGCTCCAGGACCCGCTGCCGGCACGGGCGAGTCGCTGCGAGGATCGTGGAGCGGCGGAGATGGGCTGCTGGCGGGCACCACCACCGTCCGGCTTCTAATCTAAAACCCTCTAGTTCTCAGAGAGCTCTCCGGGAATTTTTCCTGGAGAGCTCTCGGGGGCTCCCCTGAAGCGATTCGAAAGCGCTGCCAGGCACGCCTCCATGCGTGCCTGCACGCGTGCAGGCACGCGTGGACGCGTGCCGGAATCGCTCCCGGACCCGCTGCCGGCACGGGCGAGTCGCTGCGCGGATCGTGGAGCGGCGGAGATGGGCTGCTGGCGGGCACCACCACCGTCCGGCTTCTAATCTAAAACCCTCTAGCTCTCAGAGAGCTCTCCGGGAATATGTGCCCGACTTGCAGAGAGGTCTGATCGAACGGGCTCGGGCCTCGCCGAGCTCGACTAGACAAGCGCGCAAATCGAGCAGCGTGACGCAGCCTCCAAGCAGGCTGCGCAAGATGATCGGCCGCACGTTGTAAAGCACTGACGGACGCGATAGAACAATCCCAACGCCTCGCAGATTTAGGCGCACGGCCAGAGGCAGAAATCACACACGCACACTTGCACCGTGCATCTTTAGACATGAAGAATGACAAGGTGCACGCCGTGATGTCGAGGCGGGCGGCGTTGCACAGGCAAGCTTGGTTGAAAAAGGCATGGGCTTTTAGAGCCCAGAGAGTCAGTGACGCAGCCAATTAAGTGCCAGAACAGCGCCAACGCACGCATCGACTGCAGGCGGCGCGGGCGAACCGAATCCTCGACGGGCACCCCGAGAAATCTTTGACGTTATTCGACGTGTTCCAAGGCAGAACCCGGCTTAAATTTGGGGCGGCTGCCGGGCTGGATGGGGCCCCATCCAGAGATCCTCAAGTTGTGGACTTCCTTGTTGGGCGCGCGAGTGCGGCAGCTCTTCGTGGATGGGCAGAGGGACTGGCGCCGCGAGGATCCCCGTGGATGGGCAGGAGGAGGAGGAGGAGGAGGACCAGGAGGAGGAGGAGGAAGATGAGGAGGAGGAGGAGGAGGAGGAGGCAGAGAGGCATGAAAAATCATCAGTTTCATTGGCATCCCTCAGGTGCTGAATGCTTCCCGGCCGGGCGTGCACAGGTGGATCCGCAAATGAATCACTTCCCAAAGTGGTATCTGCAATCTCTGCGACCATCGGTCCGCGCGCAGCCGCGACGTTGCAGCGTGCTTACATGCGGGTTCAAACCGGGAGCTCGCGCAGATGAGCTGGCGCGCACATTGAGAGAGACCTTCACTCACGCATCCGCTTGGAACCGATGCGCGCGCGCATCGTCGCAAGATGTTGCCGCGGTGTTCGGTTCGATGACGCGCGAATCCCTCTCCGCAGGACTGCGTTGCCGTGGAGTGCGCGATGGCGCGGCGTTGGACATTTTGCGGAAGTCCGCCAACATGGAAGCTAGCAGTACCATTCCGGGCGCCGGGGCATCCGATGGCCTCGACTTCAGCCGCGGAGGGGGAAAAGGTGCACCGGGAACTCCCGTTTGCTTCAATGCTGTTGTTGAGACAACCATGGCAGCCATGGGGCCTGCGATCCAAAAGTGGGACGCGGACGAAATCGGCTTCAAGCTCAAAAGCGGCAGGGCCATCAGTGATTTGATCTGGGCTGACAACGCGCGGCTCATTGCGGGGCGGGGACCCCCGAACACCTCCTGCGTTGATCGCAGACGTCACGGCGTTTTTTGCGAAGGTGCGTATGTCTTGGAAGCCGGATTATATGAAGACCTTTTGCGGCGGTGCGGCTGCGGGGAACAAAGCGGATAGTTCGGCGCTGGATCACGGAGGCGCGACGCAGCAATGCGCGAACGTGGATGCACTCGAGGCGTCGGGCAACCTGCTGGACAGCAAAGGAAACACCGCGTCAGCGGTCGACTGCCGGTTGCGGAAGGCAGAGCGCACATTCAGGAAGCATTCGAAATCTTTCGGGCCCCGGTGCGGTTGCACACAATATGTCAGATTGGACATGATGTGAGTCGCCGAGCCCAGCTCATGGCAGTGCGACGTGGGTTTTGGACAACACGCTCATGCAACGAATGCGGAGATGGGAGTTGAAGTGGGCGCGAAAAAACCCTCCGATTACGGCGGCGACCAGATGAAGGTCACATGCGATACAATCGCCGTTCTTCGCAATGTATTTCGCGGTGGCTTCAACTGACCTGGGACAAGCAGCTTCGCCATCGGGTGCTCCAAGAGGTCCGCGGCGGTGCTTGGAGAGAGCGCACTTCTCCAGCTACGACAGGCATGGGCCACCTCATGGAGCGGCGCACCGAGCGTTGTAGATTGGTATGGGACGCCACGAAGGGCGAACAGTATTCACAGCGTCTACAAGAAGGCTTCGTGCACAGCCGCAGGGGGAGCATCGTTCAATGGGAGGACGTGCTTATTCGCGCCCACGGACACGCGTGGCGCACAGAACGGGATAATTCACAGACTGCTACCGCTTGGAAGGGGCGTGGCGGCGATTTCGTGGAGACCATGTGCGAGCAATGGTCGTTCCCAGCCCACGGGCCGACACATCGCCAGGAGGCTGCGGAAAAGGGGGCAGGCGCTGGCGAAGCGGGCTCGCAGTGCAGGCCGACCAGGGGGCCTGAAGGAGACGGCCCGAACAACTTTCAGTACCGCGCAGGCCGCGGTATGGGCAAGTGTGGGCCGCAGGTGTGTCTGTGTCGTGGATTGCCAACCGCTGCAAAGAATCGTTTGCGGCTGCGCGGCAAGACTCTCTGGCCGCTATTTCAACATATTATTCAAGGGTTGTGCGACGTGGTGCAATTCGGATGGAGCCCCCGCAATCGGAGCGATCCACTCTTATGGTTCGACAGAAGCCATCATGCATTAACCGAGTGTTTGTGCAACATTACGATGGACAAGAAATCTTCGTGGCGAGAGGTGAAGGGCGCCATGCCTGAGGAACCCGATAACTTAGTGATGCTATCCGACGGGGGAAGTAGATCCGAGTGCTCCGCGAGCGCATGGGCACGAGGTGCCTACTCTCCAGGAAACCTGGAATGAATATTCCATCCGCTTGTGGTTGCAGGTAAGTACCTGGATCCACCTGTGCACTCCTTGGCAGAGGCCCTTGCCTTGGAGGGCGCGGTGCAGGAACTGCGATCGTGGATCGTTGCCCGTGCTTAGCTGTCATCTTCTTCCTCCTCCTTCGTCTCCCCGTCTTCGTTCCCCCACCAATAATTGCTGCATGCCGTTATTGCGCTGTCCAGGGGCGTTGCATCTTGAATCATGCCTCACACTCTGTTAGGGGTAGCTTCACGAAATTCTGTCCGCCATCGAGAAAGAAAAACCTTTTCGAATCCAGCTTAATCCCGTGAGGTTCAAGTCCGTCCCAGTTTTTTCGGCTTGATCCGGGCTTGTCCGTTCTGAAATGGTTCCGCCGTCAGGCTCGATGGCTTTAGTTCGTTCGTACGAAGACCCTCCATCAGACGGTTCCCGACTCAGTTGACCTGGCTCGAGCTGGCGCGAGAGCCCCAAAACAGCAATTTAGGGGGGGGGAGCCCTGCCTTCTGAGACGCTGGGGGGACTCCCCTGGCTTCCGGGAGGCCCCCTTCGCGCCATCCCATTGCGCGCGCCGCCGGCACCCGCAGTGGACTTGGCTCGAGCCGGAGCGGCAGCCGGAAGCGTCCCTGGCCCACGGTGTCCCCAGCCTTCCGCGCTAATCTGGGCCCCCTGAGCCGCGTGAGCGGTGCTCGGAAGGCCATCTGGGCCTCCCAGGGAAGGAGTCCTGGGGGCACCTTGGGCCTGGCCTGGGGTGTCCCCAGCTTTCCGCGCCATTTCGGGGCCCCTGGGCCTCGTGAGGGGCGCTCTGAGGCCATCTGGGAATCCCAGGAACTCCTGGGGGCACTTTGGTAGTGTAACCGTTGATGGGAGCTTTCGTGTTACGTTTTGCCGGCCCATTTTTTACGGAGTCCTTGCCGTTTCCGTGCTACTTCCGCGTCGGTTTCGTGTTCCCGTGACCGTTATGTTCTGGTGGCGCCTGGCACATGGACGTTGGGGGCGTATTCAAACTGAGGCGGAACGAAAGTGGAACGAAAACGAACGGAAGCAAACGCTTGAGCGCATCGCGAAGGCTTCCACGAACGGCTGCACAACCTTGGGACAGGGACGCCCCGAGCAACACCCGAGCGGGCGCGTTTGTCGCGCCGACGATGGCGCGCCTTGTGGGCCTCGCCGCCGCCCTCCTGCGGGCCACGGCCCCGTGCTTGGCGTATGAGCACCAGGCCAATCCGGTCAGAAAGGTGGCGGCCAGGCTTCGATGCCAGATCTCGGGCGGACTGAGCTCCTCAGTGTTCCCACGCTCCTCCCCTCCACCCTTCGCGCGGCCGCCCTCGTCTTCGCCTCTCTTTCTCTCGCACGCAGGACAATTTGCCTATATGTTGCTTCGATTGGCCCCACGCTGGTGCGGATTGCCTCCCCCTCGCCGCCGACGAAAAAAAGTCCCGCGCTATTTATTCCCCAGAGAACCTGGCGCTGCAACTTGTTTGCACCAGGCGTTTTCGCCCTGTTTCGTGCCCGAGGACCGTCCCAGATCGATCCGCCGCGCGGAGATGGGGTCTAGGGCTCTGGTCGCGATTTTCCGCGATGTTGTGTTTTGTTCGTGACGTCAGATCTCGGGGGAGCTCTTCAGTGTTCCTGCGCCCCTCTGTCCTGGTTTCGGCGTCGAAGGGGCCGTCCGCAGGCCCTGAGACCACCAAGAATGGGCTTGGGACGACAAGCTACCCCTGGGGAAGGGGTGGAGACCTCTGGGGCCGGTGGATTGAGAAAATCTGATGGTCGGATGTTTAGGGGAGGAGGAGGTTGATTGGGCACAGGCGCGATTCAAGCGGAGTGGTTATTCTCTCTGCTGCCCAGGCTTCATCTTCGCTCCCATCATGCTATTGCTTTCGTTGCGGCGCGGGCATGGCCTGCTTCTTCTCATCTTCTTCCTCCTCCTCCTCTTCCACACTTCCTCCCATCCTCCTCTTCCCCCTCTTTCTCCTCGTGCTCCTCGTCCTCCTCGTCCTCCTTCTTCTCCTCCTCCTTCTCCTCCTCCTCCGGTCCCAGTCCGTAAACTGGACTGGACAGTTTTGTTGTTGTTGTTGTTGTTGTTGTTGTTGTTGTTGTTGTTGTTGTTGTTGTTGTTGTTGTTGTTGTTGTTGTTGTTGTTTGAAATCCAATCGATGATTGTTCAACCGGATTATAATCAGTGCCGAAGACGCCTACGGCGAATCACCGCCGCCCTATGCCTTTTTGGAAGCGCATGTGGTCGAAAATTGGCTTAGAGTTATCGGACCATGTGCTCCCCCAGCTGTCGTTGAAACCTTTCGGAGAACACGTGCAGAAGAGGATGATGACGAGAAGAAGGATAAGGGAGTAGGAGGAAGAGGAGGAGGAGGAGGAGGAGGAGGAGGAAGAGTAGGAGGAGGAGGAGGAGGAGGAGGAGAATAAGGAGGAGGGCGCCTCTTGGACGCCTCTTGGGGCACTCTTGGGGCACTCTTGGGGTCTCATTGGAGCTTCCTCGGGGCCTCTTGTGGCCCGTCTGACGCTGTCGGAAGCCGTCTTGGATGCCTCTCTGAACCGACTTGAGGCCCTCTTGAGGCGCTTCAGGGTCGTCTTGGAGGCCATCTTGGGCGTCTTGTAGACCTCTTGGGCCGTCTTGGGGCCCTCTTGGGGCCGTCTTGGAGGTCTCTTGGGCCGTCCTGGGTCATTTTGGAAGCCTTTGGGCCACCTTTGGGCCAATCGTGGGACAACTTTTGGCAAATCCATGATTTTGGCTTGCGCGGGCGCTCCTGGAGAACCTTTTTGAAGCCTCCGGAGCCGTCCTGGAGGCCTCTTGGGGGTCTCTTGGACCGTCTTGGGCCGTCTTGGAGGCTTCTTGGGCGGACTTGGAGACATCTTGAACTCTCTTGGGCCGTCTTGGAGGCCCTCCTGGACCATCTTGGGCGAACTTGAGAGCCATCTTAGCCGTCTTGGAGGCAAACTTGGACCATATTGACGCCATCTAGAGCAGGATAAACCTTTGCAGCCACCTCGAACGCGGCCTTTCGGGTGGCCAGCGACATCGGCCGACACCCCATGGGGGAGTTCCACAAGAACCAAGAATTTCCAAACATCCAGCGCGCCGGGCACCCTTGTGGCAAGACCGCAGGAGGCGGAGGATCGAATCTCCTTCGGCCAATCCCGCCACCGTGCCTGCATTGTGGGTATGGAGCATATCAGATGTTCGTTGAGATCTAGTGGGACGCCTCTTGGAGGCAGTTTGGAGGCCTCTTGGGGACCGTTTTGGGGCATCTTGCAGGCCTCTTTTGGGCCTCTTGGGGGCCTCCTGGGGCCTGTTGGGGGCCTCTTGGGGGGCCCTTGGGGGCCTCCTGGGCGCCTCTTGGGGCCTCCTGTGGGCCCACTCGGCGGCGAGCGAGGGGGGGAAGTGAGAAGGAGAATGCCTTCTCAGAAGGCTCGGAAGTCTCCCCGCCTTCTGAGACGTTGTCTAAACCTCCCCCGAAGACGCAGGTAAGTTCTCGGAAGGCGCGGGGGCTCCTGCTGAGAAGTCCCGCCGCCTTCTGAGAAGGCCTTCTCCTTCTCACTTCGGCCCTTCGCTCGCCGCCGATCCACTTCTCTCCAGGTAGTAATTTGAAACACCTCCCGCTGAACGCAGCCCAAGGTAGTTTTTTTTTAGCAGGTTCGACACGCTCTTAGCAGGTTCGACACGCTCTCTTTAGCATCCTCTTGGCGTCTGACGCTTTGGGCGCTTCATGGATGCACTTGTACAGCGCGAGCGAGGTGTCATGGGGTGGGTGCGTGGAGCAAGGTGCGCCGAGGCGCCCCAGCGATCTGGGAGGTGCCCTCGGGGCGCCCGCGGCGAGCCCCAATGGTCGCCCAGTGGCAGCGCGGGGAGTCGGAAATCCGGCCGCCCAGCCATTCCCGCCGCAGGCGGCCGCTCACGCCGCGCAGGCGGTGTTCGGCGCCTGCGGCAGGCAAAGAAAATACGCACTGCGCGTTACCGAAGGGTCTTTTGACAGCTCTGAGGTAGAAGGCCAGATTGGCGAGGCAGGCGAAGCGCGGGAGGTGGAGCAGATCGCCCCTTGCCTGCAGCCCTCCGACGTCGGCCGCCTGGCGCGTTGCCAAATGTGGCGACGCAGCCAGAAAAACAAGTTATCCTGGCGACGGACCCAACCATGTGCAGTCGTGGGTATTGCAATTGTGGATCTCTTCTTCGGTAAAGCTCCCCATGGGGCCACGAAGCGCTGCACTGGGTGGGGGGAAACGTATGCGGGCGGTGGCACTGGGTCCGTGGGGGGAGCTCCCTACGGGACCACGAAGCGCTGTATTGGGTGCCGAAGTCGACTTTTGGGGACGCATTCAGACGGTGGCACTGGCGCCTTCGGTGGAGCTCCGTATGGGGCCACGAAGCGCTGTACCGGGTGGGTGACAACGCAAAATTTGATGTTTTGGGACGCATGCGGACGGTGGCACTGGGGCCTTCGGTGGCACGAAACGCTGTACTGGGTGGGTGGAAATGCCGAACTGGGTGTTTTGGGACGCGCGCGGACGGTGGCACTGGGGCCTTCGGTGGAGCTCCTTATAGGGACCACGAAGCGCTGTACTGGTTGGGTGAAATTGCCAAATTGGATGTTTCGGGACGCATGCGGACGGTGGCACTGGGGCCTTCGGTGGAGCTCCCTATTGGGCCACGAAGCGTTGTACTCGGTGGATGCACATGTCAATGTTGATGTTTCGAAGTCCATGCGGACGGTGGCACTGGCGCCTTCGGTGGATGTAGTGGATGGGTGAACATGCCAAATTGGATGTTTCGGGACGCATGCGGACGGTGGCACTGGGGCCTTTGGTGGATATCCCTATGGGGCCACGAAGCGCAGTACTGGGTCTGTGGAAATGCCAAATTGGATGTTTCTGGACGCATGCGGACGGTGGCGCTGGGACCTTCGGTGGAGCTCCCTATGGGGCCACGAGGCGCTGTACTGGTTGGGTGAAACTGCCAAAATTGATATTTCGGGACGCATGCGGACCGTGGCACTGGGGCCTTCGGTGGCGCTCCCTATGGGGCCAAGAAGCGTTATATTGGGTGGGTGAAACGCAGGGAGGAGGGGGAGGAAGAGAGAGGGAGGAAGTGAGGAACGCGGGGCGCTGTCTCTTCAAAACGAGGACCCAACACCACAGGATGGTTGGGAATTGCTCCGAGGCCATGGCGGCGGGGTTTGCCACATGCAACAGGGAGGGAAGGAGGCCCTCGGAGGCAAGGCGAGTTAAAAGGAGGTTCGCAGGAAGCCAAAGAGATGACAGGGAGGGGAGGAGAGGGAATTTGAGGGTTTGCAAGGAGGAGAACGTAGGGTTCGGGGGAGCGATTGGGGCTCTTCGCATGGCATCTGCGTAGGCTGCGCGCGTTTAGCATATTGTTCGAAGGCCTCGTAATACTCATGAGACACGTCTTGCTCAGAATCTTAATTCTGATGCTGCAAACTCGCGACAATGGAAAGAACGTGGTGGGAACTAAGCGTGCTCGATGCGCGCGCGTGGTTCTAGTTCGATCATTGTTCGGTCATTTGCAGCACAAGCTCTTCTCTCTCTCTCTCCCTCTCTCTCTCTCTCTCTCTCAGGACGCGGTTCCACGAGTTTGCCCACACCGGTCGGCTCGTGTGGCACTCCCTTGTTCGCCTGGCGTCCTTTAGATTCGCCCCGTGGCCGCGACGAATCGAGATCCTGTGGTCGTGGCGAGGAGAAACGCTCTGGATTCCCCTCCCAACTTCGCCCTCCCTCCCAGATCCTCGGATTCTCCCCGCCTGCCCCCTCCCCGCTCGACCCTCGATCCCCCGATTCCCCGATCCTCCCTCCTCCCCGCTCCGCCCACCCCCCTCCCTCCCGAGATCCGTGGAGTTGCGAAAAACATGCAGCGCCGCGAGGAAGTCATAAACGGAGCCCTGGACCACATCTGCTTGCGGCTGGATCGATCTGAGCCGGTCCCGTGGCCCGAAGCCGAACGAAAGCGCCCAATGTGGATCCTCGATCCTCGCGGCGAGGAGGAAAAAAGAGCAAGATCCCTCCCAGGACCCCAGGCTCCCCCCCCGCGCCCGCAGGACACTTGTCGTGCCCGAGCCCCAGCCGTCGGACGAAGTCGCGTCCGAGGTCCTCGCCCTCGGCGTCACCGCCGCCGCCGCAGCCGCCGCCAGCGCCGCTGTCGTCGTCGTCTTCTCGTCGTCGTCGTCGTCGTCGTCGTCGTCGTCGTCGTCTTCTAGTCGTCGTGGCCGTGGTCGTCGTCGTCGTCGTCGTCGTCGTCGTCGTCGTCTTCTCGTCGTCGTGGCCGCGGTCGTGGTGGTCGGCGTCGTCGTCCTATTCTCGTCGTTCTCCTCGTCGTCGTTGTGGTGGTCAGCGCCAGCGTTGCCCATGTTGGGGGCGGGCGTCGCCTGCCCGGCAGCGCCCGCTCTTCCGTCTTGGGCGTGGGTTGTTGCTTGGCATCGTCCCCCCTCTTTCCGCTCCAGCTTCGGGCTGGCCCCCATACCCAACGGTCGTTGAAAGTAGGTATTTCTGTATTCCCACATTCCAGTCTACTTTCAGCGTCTTCCTATTTCAAGAGTCGAGTGGTTTGCCCTCTTCCCTCCTCATCAGGAGGCGGGCGGAAACCCAATCTATTTCCAACGCCTTCCTAGTTCATGTTTCTACCTACTTCTTCCGACCGATGGGTACCTCCGACGTCGCGTTTTCTCTTCAATGCAGTTTTCGTCTAGAGGAGGAGGAGGAGGAGGAGGAGGAACACCACAGTAGACCAAATACAAGATGCATAAGCGATGCCGCAGCCCACCCTGTCATCCCGAGCCCCCTCCTCGTACGCACGCCCCCACAAGTTGTCTTTCCTCTTGAAAGACCAGCGCAGTTGGGCCTGCCATTTCGGCGAGGATCCCGCTTCGAAGAGGCATCGCCTTGCACT